TCCATATCTATTATATTACTATGATTTTTAACAAATGTAATTTGGAACTAATGGTTTTCCTTGACAGCCACGTGTTCGTAGCTTGGACGCATCCGGAGTTATCCCTTAGTACGCCCAGCGTACTCGATGTACGCCCAACGTACTGATTGAAGAGGGAGTAACTAACGTACTGATTGAAGAGGGAGTACGCAGTTACTCCCAACGTAACTCTTGGGGATCAGCCACTATAAATAGCACCCGATGCCATCCGATTTTAGGTTGCAAACTTTCATTCTCCCCACCTTAAACTTTCTTCAATATTGCAAAATTTATCCCTAACCCTATTATATCATCCTAGCATCATAAGCAAGTCTCGGAGAGCCTGAAAATCCCGAGAAAAAGAGTTTTCAAACCGAAACTCTATCCACGTGAAGCTCGTTTTTGAAAAAACATCCTGGTTTTATCGTAAACAATCGTTTTAAGAAACGAAGTGCTGCCCGATTATCGTTAAATCAAGTGAGTGTGTAGTCACTTTCATCTTACACATAGATATGAAATATTTTCTATAAAATATGTGCTATGTGTATATTTTTTGTTTGTCTATTTGAGATGGATGTTGAATGAATGTTTTATACATGTTTTAAAATAATTTAAACTGTATATGTATTTTTATCTACATATATGTTAGGTATAACATGGGTAGATGAAATAGTTAACGTGTATTAAAATGATGAGAGGCCTCTATATTATTGTTATTTCAGTCATCTAGCAAAGTATAGAAGAGGACCACAGATTTTTCTAGACAGTACAGTGGAACGCTAGAAAGTTCGCAACCTAGAGGTGTTTGTGAACTTAGTGTTCAATGATATACTCCATCCCCCACATGGTTGTCTTATTTGACATAAATTAATCAAGAATCCCCTAAAGTAGTGTTGTCACCCCGATTAAAATCCTTAAACTAGGTCCCTTGTCATAGATGTTTATGGACGTAAAGTTATGATAACTGGAACGAGTAATCAGGGTTATAGTTGGTTAATGAAATTAATAAATTTATTGTTGGTTGATGAAAAATAATAAATTTTATTATTTGTGGGTTGAAAACCTTATATGCTCATCAGGTTCCGAAGTCTGACTCACTCAGCTTTCTGTATTACATGTAGTGGACCCAGAACATAGTTGGATGATAATGAAGAATTTTTGGATTATATGTCAATAGTTGTAAATAACTCTTATAAGGCTTATAATGTACTGTTTATGATTTTGATCTTTATCGGAACATTACATCCCGAGGTTTTGTTATACAATGAAAATATATTTTTTTATTAAATGCTTTAATAAATTTTTATTATATTTTGTTTTGGGAACAAATTCCACACCATCTTTTGAAAGATTACTCTGGTTTTATTTTAAAAACATAAACAAAATCGGTCTTCTGGCCGAGAAATTTAGGGAATTAACATGCATATCCAAAAAAAATATATAACATATCGTTTATTTTTGTTTAATCTCGTTTGTTAATGGTAGTCATTTAATCAAACCAAGATATAAAAGAATCATGAATACAGCTCGTATAAAAACACAAAATAAATCCGAGGAAAATCAACTAATCATTACGTAGAGGGAAATAAAATGTGATAAATATTATATAAATGAAGGATCTCAGGAAGTTTAAAAGAATCATGAATACAGCTCGTATAAAAACACAAAATAAATCCGAGGAAAATCAACTAATCATTACGTAGAGGGAAATAAAATGTGATAAATATTATATAAATGAAGGATCTCAGGAAGTTTAAACTATCATCAGATCTGATTAAGGAATATACAAATAGATAACACAGTTAATAATTAATCAACATAATATTTAAAAAAATTGTAACAAATAGAAAGACAAGTAAAGAAAACAGGACATATTGAGATCAACATCAAGTAGCACAAGATCGACTTAACAACGAATCCTGATATTTTTTATGATAGATTTAAAACGCAAGCTGTATACTTATAACGGCAGCAACATCACCATCCTGATATGTTGATCTCAATATGTCCTGTTTTCTTTACTTGTCTTTCATTAGGAGAATTTCATATATGCCCCTCTTAAACTTCAAAATATCATATTTACCCTGCTTAATTTCTCAATATCATATTTACCTTTCATAAATCTTTAAAATATCATATTTACCCAAATCGTTTTTTATAAAGTTTTTAACATTTTATAATCATTTTTTATACCTTAGACTTAATATAATAATTAAGAAATTTAATTTTATTATCCTTACGTCTATGATAATAGAATATGAACTTCTAAATTTTGGAATGTCGGCTTTTTAATAATCAAAAAGATTCATCTTCAATCCTTTCTATGGAATGTATATTTTGATTGTTTAATTTTTATCATTGTTGATTATTATTATGTTGTAGATGAAAAATATTTTAGATATTACCATTAATATTTTGATATTTAAAAAATACATATACTATATTTTGATATTTAAGAATAACATATATGATATTTTCATGTTTAAAAAGAACATATACGACATTTTAAAATTTTATGAAGGATAAATATGATATTTAGAAATTTTATAGAGTAAATACGATATTTAGAAATTTTATGAAGGGTAACATGATATTTAGAAATTTTATTAATGGTAAATGTGATATTTAAAAATTAAACTGGGTAGATATTATATTTTGATGTTTAAAAATAGCATATACGAAATTCTCCCGTAATGGAAAAACAACGCACTATAGTCATTTACAGGCTAAATGGGTCAGAATGGGCTACACATCTTCTTCTAAATTCTAAACTCTAAAGTCATCCAAAAATAGATCGGTTTTAATAAACAAGTAAACAAATTGATATATATATATATATATATATATATATATATATATATATATATATATATATATATATATATATTGGCAACGTAAATGTAGAAGAAAAAGCATCTTAAAAATGCTTTCCCCGTTGTTTTCTTCATTATGAATCAAAGTGCAAGGATGACAAAGTCTAATTATCATCATCAAAGATAATTCATAGCCCAATTAAAAATCTAAAAACTAAATCACTTAGATATAAAAGCAATTTAATCAAACCAGGATATACAAGAATCATGAATACAACTCGTATGAAAACACAAAATGGATCCGAGGAAAATCAACTAATCATTACGTAGAGGGAAATAAAACGCATGATAGATATTATATAAATGAAGAATCTCACGAAGTTTAAACTATCATCAGATCCAATTAAGGAATTTACAGATAGATAACGCAGTTTCTTTGTAAGCATCATCGATCCAACACTTGAATATTTAATCAACATAACATTTAAGAAATTTGTAACAAAATGAAATACAAGTAAAGAAAACAGGACAAATTGAGATCAACATCAAGTAGCATACGATCGACTTAAGAACGGATCCTGACGATTTTTTTATAATAGATTTCAAACGCAAGTTGTATACTTATAACGGCAGCAACATCACCATCATATGGGGACTATGAACCCTAATGGAAAAACAACGCATTTGCAGGCTGTAATGGGCCAGAATGGGCCGCACATCTTTTTCTAAATTCCAAACTCTAAAGTCATCCAAAAACAGATCGGTTTTAATAAACAAGAAAACAAATTGATAAATATTTGTCAACGTAAATGTAGAAGAAGAAAAAGCATCTCAAAAATACTTTCCCCGTTGTTTTCTTCATTATGAATCAAAGTGCAAGGATGACGAAGTCTGATTATCATCATCGATGCTAATTCCAATCCCACATAAAAATCTAAAAACTATATCGTTTTAGATATAAAAGCAATTTAATCAAACCAAGATATACAAGAATCGTGAATACAACTCGTATGAAAACACAAAATGGATCCGAGGAAAATCAACTAAGCATTACATAGAGGGAAATAAAATACGTGATAGATATTATATAAATAACGGATCTCAGGAAGTTTAAACTATCATCAGATCCAATTAAGGAATTTACAGATAGATAACGCAGTTTCTTCATAGGCATCATCGATCCAGCACTTCAATAATTAATCAACATAACATTTAAAAATTTTGTAACAAAATGAAAGACAAGAAAACAAGACAGATTGAGATCAACATCAAGTAGCATACGATCAACTTAAAAACGGATCATGGTGCTTTTTTTATGATAGATTTAAACGCAAGCTGTATACCTATAACAACAGCAACATCACCATCACACGGGTACTATGAACCCTAATGGAAAAACAACGCATTTACAGGCTGTAATGGGAAAGCCCAAAACATAAATTCATCTACTATAAGATCACAAATACAGTTTCCACTTAGTAAAAAAACCTGAGAAAATCAAGTAAAAACAATGTACCTGAGAATGATCATTGAGCATCTGAAGGTTATACTGCTTCTCAGCCCTCAACTCCTGAACTGCACTTGGATTTTGCAAAAATGTGACAAGTGGAGCCGCTGCCTCCTCCAGAGACTTCAATCTTGCCACTACCTCTACTCTCCTGTTCACCATATCTAATAACAAAAACTCACAACCTCAGAACAACTACATATATACATATACATCTATACATACGCATTATAAACTTTCACAGGATATTGTCTTCACACACATTAAACTTTATGAGTAGTACTGAAAACCTACTAAAATTGGTACAGATTTAAAGCAATATCCATATCCATTTTATCGTTCGAAGCACATTAAGCATCTGAAAATCAAGCTGTAACACTTCTCTTTGTCTCGACCGAGGGTTTTAAAAACACGGGTATTCAGTATTCACACATGGATAATTGAAAAAACGGAAAAAAAAAAAAAAAAAAAAAAATAGTAACAAAAATCATATGTAAATAGAGAGTGTACTACCTTGAGGAACATCTTCGGTATGGTAAAGGGATTTGTGGATATCCATGGCGTAATCAACTGTTGTTCAAAAGCTCGATATTAGCTTTAAGGATTTGATCGTTTGGGTAAAGCTCGCGTTCTTGAGTGAATTCCAACAGCGGAAACACCAGATGCCTGTCGAGATTCGGAGCAATTCGAGGTGTCAGATCGTATTTCGCCATCGCCATGATTTGATTTGAAGTGTTTTTTAGGTTTCCCTTCGATTAAATATGTATGGAGGCAGATAGCGGCTACGATGCTGTTGTTAGGGTTTTGTGGCTCTCCTCGCCTTTCTTTTCGTTATTCGCTCTTTCTTCTATGGTATGCGACTTTCGGCCCTCGATCTTTTATCAATGTTACAACTCATTCCTGTCTTTTGATTTTGTTATTTTCTTTATAGAGTTTTAACTTTTTTTTATCATGAAAGTTCTAAAATTCTATTAAAGTTCTAATCATGTTAGTTAAGTTTTTAATTATAATTTTGCCACCATTTAGCAATTAGGTCAAACTATATCATGTTCACGAGGTAACCATCCTACGTGGATGCCACGTGGAAGTTTTTTTAAAAATCCTATAAAATTAATTTCATCTTTAAGGGACCAAGATCAAGAAAATCAACATTTTTAAGGGACCATTTTTTAAAATAAAGATTGAAGCGGAAGCATCGATTTGGAGGCTTGGTGACACAAGAGAGTTTCAAAACATTTTCATCAGTCTTATATAGAGCAAACCATGAGACATCATTGTTGAAAACATGGTAGCACATGATCTTTATGATTGAATAGCTCATGTTGTGGGTCCCTCTGATGATACCTAAGGTACCCGAGAACAAGATCCACATTCATTGAAGGACCAACTTTGATGATACCTAAGGTACCCGAGAACAAGATCCACATTCATTGAAGGACCAACCATAGTAAGAACATTGTTAATGTTCTTACTAATCATTATCAGAGGGAAATATAATACATTAATACTACTCAAATTCCAATTTCTGCTTAACTTAGTTTGTTTATTTTGGATTTTGATGTCTTTTTGTTTAGGGTTTAATGTCAGACTAACATCAACTTCTCATTAAAAACATATTCAACTTACAAGATAAACCTCACTACACGGATCCTACACTACACTCTTCGCTCAATATTGTTCTATCATAACAAAGATCAACAACATGAAACCCTAACTAAGAGTTCTAGGAGATAAAAAAAAACAGATATAGCAGCCTTACTGACATCAATCTTTCAGACAACGAGCTCCTTGGTATCATTCCTGAAGAATTTGGTACGTTTAAAAACCTTCAAACCCTAGATTTGACCAACAATGACCTCGAAGGTGGTATCCCAGTTTCATTTAGAAACTTGGGCAAGATACGGGAACTTTCCCTATCTGGGAACAATCTCAACCAAGACCTTCCTAGTTTTTTCAGCAACTTGCCACAGATGTCGTTACAGGTTCTTGATTTATATGGGAATCAACTAAGCGGTTCTTTGCCTGATTTTACAACATTCACATCTCTCAAGGAACTGTACCTTGGACAAAATCAGTTGAACGGATCTTTCCCACGAAAATTTGAAAAAATCTCGAATCTATCGATCCTTGATTTGGCGGATAATAGTATCAACGGATTGCTTCCTGATCTTTCTGCCTTAGCTTCATTGCGGGAGTTGTATTTTGAAAGAAACCTATTAAATGGAACTCTAGCTGAAAAGTTAGATCCTCTCTCCATGCTCGAGTCTTTGGGAGCATCTTCGAATTTCTTTCAAGGAACGATATCTGAAACGCATGTAGCTAATCTTTCTCGTTTGAGATACCTTGATTTGTCGAATAACTCCCTGGCTATAGAAATCGGTTCCAATTTGTCTGCAACTTTTCAACTCGAAACCATCTCGTTGTCATCCTGCAAACTCGGGAGTTCTTTCCCGAGATGGCTAAGAACTCAAACAAACTTCTCCGTGCTTGATATATCTAATACCGGAATCAATGATTCCGTCCCCAATTGGTTTTGGGAATCGTTAATTCCAGGCGTTCGATACTTAAATCTCTCCTCGAACCAGATCCATGGGATGATTCCGGATTTGGATTTTATATCCGGTAACCAACCTATAATCGATATGAGCTCAAATAACTTCTCAGGTAACTTACCTTTGTTTCCTCTTGACATCGTTACTCTAAAGCTCAATGACAACATCTTATCCGGATCGATTTCTTCCTTGTGTAACCTGACTACTTTAAGCCGTCTTGATCTTTCTAATAACAAACTCTCAGGAGAGCTTCCAAATTGCTGGAACACTCTTAATAACCTGGCTATTCTCAACCTTGAAGACAATGGATTTATTGGGGTAGTGCCTGAATCCATGGGGGCCCTGGAGTTTGTTTCTATGATAAGTATTCGAGGCAATAGTTTGACAGGGGAGCTGCCAGCATCCTTAAGAAACTGCACTTCGTTGCTACTTCTTGATCTTGGAGAAAACCAACTGTCGGGGAAGATACCGGAATGGTTAGGGGAAAGCTTGTCATTGCTGCTTGTTCTTAGCTTACAGTCGAATCAGTTTCATGGAGCCATTCCTACAAGCTTATGTAAGCTCGAGATGATTCAAATTTTGGACCTCTCTGTTAACAATATCTCGGGGAACATACCCAAATGCCTCAATAATATTACAGGGATGAGTATGAGGGATAGAGGTACCTTGCGATCAAGTTTTGAGTACAATGCAGTGGGGTTGGTACGAACAAGACTAGCTGTCAGAGCAAGGGTTGTGTTTAAAGTGTTACTGCAATGGAAAGGAAGGCGATCAGAGTATCAAAATACGTTGCGTCTTGTCGTTAGCCTTGATCTTTCTAGCAATAGACTAACAGGCGAAATCCCAGGTGAGATGACGAGTCTTTTGGGTCTCATTGCCTTGAATCTTTCGAGAAACTCGTTATCCGGATCAATACCTCAAGACATCGGTCGTCTGGGTCAGTTGGATTTTCTTGATCTATCGAGAAACAACCTGGGTGGAGGAATCCCTACAAGCCTTGCACAATTGAGCTATCTAGGGTTCTTGGATTTGTCCTTTAACAACTTGTCCGGAAGAATCCCAAAGAGCACGCAGTTACAGAGCTTCAACGGGTCGTCATATGCTGGAAATTCTAATCTTTGTGGGGTTCCGCTGCTGAACGTATGCCCTGGTGATGAGGCAAGAAGTACAAACCAAGATATTTCAGAACAAGAATCCGATGATGATAAGTTAGATAAGCGATTCATTGTTAGCGTTGTGGCTGGTGTTGCCTTTGGGTTTTGGGGTTTTTGTGGGTCGTTGATTCTCAAACATTCATGGAGACATGCCTATTTTGGGTTCTTGAATGTCGTCATTAACTCGTTTCTTCTAAGACTAGAGCTGAGTTTCGCTAGGCTCCGGAGGCAAACATCACCTTAAACATCTGCAAGAGTACAATTGGTTTCTTTTGGTGTAGAATTGTGGGATAGAACATTAAGAATACCAAATATGTTTCTGAAATTATCAGGTAATTTCTATAGTCGTCTCTGTTTGTGCTTTCCTGCTGACCTATAGCATATCTTATCGTCAAGGAGCATGGGTTAAGCTAAAAGAATTAATATTAAGAGAATGTTTGGATTAACTTTTTAGCTTATTAGTTATAATTTATTTGTGGTGGGAATAAGTAATAAGCATGAGGAGGGATGCTTATTAAGGGGTCGTTTGATAGTTGCTAACTGAGTTAGTGCTGACTGGATCAACATTTCTGATTGAGTCCACATCTGACTGAAATCATGTTGTTTGATTATATCTGTGACCGACTGTGGTGAACGATAAAAAATGACTATATTACCCTTATGTTGTCTTTTATGCCGGATATAATAGTTATAAAAAAATACAAACCGTGAAAATCCAAATAAAAATTGTTATCAATGACACTTAGAATCATGTGATTATTACACCAAGTTAAGTAAAAATCAACACTTTGATCAAATTCATTTAAAATGCTTCAATCACCAACAAACGAATACAAAATTAGCTTGAAATTACAAAAATAATAATAATAATAATAATAATAATAATAATAAGTACCAGCAAGAAAAACTTGGCTAAGTTCTCATGAGTACATTCTACACAATATAGCTTCAACTAGCAAACAACTACCAAAGCATTTAGTATTTTAGTTCTCACATTGTTGATTAAAGCTTTATTCTCTTCATCATCTTCTTCAATCTTAGGAGCCAAATAAAACCTTCATATGCCCAGTAATCAACTCTTCTTTTTCTTAATTCCAGATAATTCAAACTTCATTCTCATCTCTTAACCTCACACAAAAATAAGATATTGTAATCTATTTTATCCATCCTTCAACTATTTCGACTGCAACTTCTTTAACCATCTAAAATTTCATTCTTTTCTTAACCCACCGTCAACCATATCGAACTAGTCAAACAAGTTAATCACTGCCTTATATGAAGGAGGTATACACAATCAATTACATAAAAGATAAAAAAATAAAAAATTCAATTTTACCAGTCGTCGATCATGTACCCACAATCAGCATTCCCAAACCCACAATCCATGTTCCAAATACTCGTTCCTGTCTATCAGAATCACGAATTGAGGTATGGTCTATTCAATTTTGCAATCGGTTCTTTTTCGATATGGGTCGTGTTCCACAGGCGATCGGTACAAAAGCGTACCACAACGATGGTGAAGTACCAGCAACGGGGTTGCCTCCTGCAGCGAAGCTGGTGGTCGGCGAGAGGGTTAGAGGCAGAAGAAATCGTTGTTGTAGCATTAGAAGAAGTGGCTGGAATTTGAGGAAGAAGTGATGTAGTTGTATCGTTCATCAATTGGCGACGAAGAAGAAAGGTGTGATGAACAATCATGTTTTGGGAGAAGGGCAAATGAGGGCAATCAAGCAAAATGACCGAGTCAGCTTCTTTTTTTTATGGGACCGAGTCAGAAGGTGGGTCGGTGGTTTTGGACCCGGTCAGACAAAATTACCAATTATCAAACATGCTGACCGAACCGAATTAGCCAAAAGTGCTGACCCGGACCCAATCAACAAGATATCAAACAAGCCCTAAAATTAGCTTATTTAGCTTAATGAGCTGAATTTTATCCAAACACTCAAATTAGCTTATTGTGGAATAAGCAATAAACACATCTTTTTTTTCCTATCCAAATTACTAATATCCCTCATCTGTTAATTTATAGGGAAAATTTCACATATGTCCTCGCAAACATTAAGAATTATGTCTATATCCTTTCAAAGTTCATAATTACACATATATCCTTCTTAACCTATTAAAATCACATTTATATCAAATCTTAAAATTTAATGAGGTATTAATCAATTTAATACCAAAAAATATATTTAAAAATCAAAATAAAAGGTGATTGTACTAAATTACCCTTTCAAAAATATTAGTAGTAGAACTAAATAGACTTAATTAGCATTAAACCTAATTAAATATGTCAAAACCTCAAACAGGTCAAAACAAAACCTCAAAAACGTGAAATCTTCAAGGCTTTCATCACGATGTTTTCTTCTTCAAGCCGTGAGAACTTTTGTCTTCATTTATTCAAATATCGTTGCTACAAACATAGTAATAAATCACGTTATTTCATCACAACAGGTTAATCTTGTTCTTAATTCAATTAATTTTGGTTTTTGATTAACTTTTTGCATTCGATTAATTCGATTAATTGTTGGCTCTGCATTCAATTATGTTTGGTTTGCAATAGATAGTTTATTATCATCCTCTTTGATGGATAATGAGGTTGATGCATGGGGCATAAGTGCTCACTCGCCCATAATTGAGTAAGTTTTCATCAACAATGAATGATACTTTATGTTTCCTTTCAATTTTATTAACTTTTTTTTTTGCGGTCATCAAACAAGTAATATCATAATTCAAGTTTAAATTGAAATATGGAGGCTTCTTTCGATTAGCTAGGAACTCATGTAGGCAAGTGTATTACTTTGGATCTACAAAATGTCTCTATATAGATACATTTTAATACGACTTAAATCATCTAGTTGAAGAGGTGAAAAAACAATATCCATCACAAAGCGATATTGTTTTGTCAATAGTATTTGTTGACAAATATGCAAAAGAGCAATGTTTTATTGAACTTGATAATGATAAGAGGTTCATGGTGATGCTAAACATGTATAATAAGGAGAAAGAAGTAACAATTTATGCGACAACCGAAAAATGAAGGTATGACCCTCAACCGTTACGTTGTCAAGATAAAGTTATTGATGAATCTGATGATGAAAATGAGACAGACTCATTTTGTCCAAGTCAAGAAAGCTATCATAGTCTTCATAGTTCCGATAAAGAATATGAGCTTCTAAATTATGGGGAAACTTGTAACATTCCAAAATTTCAAACCAATTTAAACTTTTAAAAACATGTCAAGTTCATCAAAACATTACAACTTTGTTTTCAAAATTATTAATTATCAAAGTTTTCTCAGAAACATAAACAAAATAGGAGGAACTGTACGATCACGCCTTCGCCTTGCCGCGATCCCCTGATGCACCTGAAACAATAAACTGAAACTGTAAGCCCGAATAGCTTAGTGAGTTACCCCCAAAATACCGATACACATACAATCCACAACCATATTAACAATAACATATCATAACAATCTGAAACAACATGTAATGGTCCACAGCTTTACAAGTTGGACTACCCCTGTGCCCTTAGTACGAGTCTGGAATGCCTACCGGGCCCTCAGCTCGTATCTAAAATGCCATCGAGCCCTCAGTACGAGTCTGCAATACTTATCGGGACCCTCAGCTCGTATCTGGAATGCTCCCGATTCCTCAGTATGAGTCTGGAATGCCTACCGGGCCCTCAACTCATATCTGGAATACTCTAGGGTTTGTTGGCTACCGCGTGGAGCAATACAACCTCAACCCAACCCACATAACATATAACATAACTACTGAGCATGCGATAATCATATAACATCACAGGTAGTCCAACAGGTCTACCTAAATGGCATAACCACTAGCACGCAACACTAACTCATACTCAACATTTCACACTACTAGGATAACATATCCAATGGGCCAGCCTTGGTGCCTTAGATCCCTTAGTATAGTGAGGACAACTCACCTCGCAGCTGTCGTATGAACTAGAAAGCTCAACTCCCGGATCACCAACACGAACTTCACTACCTATAGATACCATAAAATCCTCTTTTATAAATATCCAAATTACCAGAATACCCTCAGAAGTCAACTGGTCAACTCATGGTCAGAATCAAAGTCCACAGTCAAAGTCAACAGTCCATGTTGACTCGACTCGTCGAGTGCAGTTCACCTACTCGTCGACTCCTTCCTGAACTTGAGAAGTCGTGAAATCCTTGATTGGCTCGTCGAGTTCTCTGTTAACTCGCCGAGGTCATACGTGTACAAGAATTGGGAGAAACCCCAGCCGACTCGCCAAGTCTTCTAACAACTCATTGAGTTCAAGGCAAACTTCAACGGACTCACCGAGTTGTTCATCCAACTCATCGATTTCATGGCCATCTTCATCGGGCTCGACGAGTTGTTCATTCAACTCGCCGAGTCCTCGCAGACCTTCTTCCATGCAGATGTTTTTTAAGCCATGGCATGGCTCCAGATTACAGATCCAAGCTTCTAAGGCATGATTATCACGTAAAGTTGCAAACTTTACGCACATGCAAGGTTCTAAAGGCCCTAAATGACAAATCTATGCCTCTAATGGAGCTTTACACCTTGGGAGAGTCTCATTCTTTCACAAGTTGGAAACTTTATGTACTAAGAAGCCCAAAGGAGCTCAGTTCTGAAGTTACAACTTCAGATCTGAGATTGCAAAGAAGAATAGCTCCCAATTATACTATGAAAACCCTAGAATTTGACCAAAGAGGGGATCTAAAATTAATGAGGTTAGGGTAACAATTTATACCTTCCAGAAGATGCTAAATACAATAGATTTCAGGTCCTTCAAGCTCCTTGCTTATGAATGCTTGATCTCTAAGCTCTTTTCTCCAAGAAAATCCTCCTCCAGGCTTAAGAATGCATAAAATGAGTACACACACACGATTAGGGATTTAGAGGGACAAGAAGCAGTGAAGGGGAGGCTGGGGAAGGCCAATGATCCTTTAAATAGGGTGAAATACCCCGAAATTTAGGGTTTCATCTGCCAGCTCCTACTCGTCGAGTCCCTTTATGGACTCGGCGAGTAGACCACTAAATGCACGATCCCACCTCGCAGCTAATTGACGAGTAGGGCAACCAACTCGTCGAGTAGATCTTTCAACCAAATAAGATTTCATTTAATTCCATACCTGAGAATCGGGGTGTTACAATTCTCCCCCACTTGAACTAGACTCCGTCCTCGAAGTCTGCTGTAGCGAATAACTGTGAGTAATGCTCGCGCATCTCCACCTCC